TCCAATAAATCAGACGCTGCATGGAGGCGCTGCGCACCCAGAACGAGTTGCGATGTGTATCGGAGGTAGTATGAGGGAAATCGGTGATTGGTTGTGGTATATACCCGTAGGCCGGGTACTGTAGTTGCTGCCGTGTGTTAGGCTAAGCGAATGTAATAGCTGCGTTGTTTCTTCGAGGGGCTTTTCTTACATACCTTCGGGAATGAACCGGTAATACCGACCAGTTGATGAGCTGTGCGATGAATGAAGCCCTTGACGTTTGCCTTGTCGAGGATCTTGGCCCCCAGCTGGCTTTTCTTGCATTGAGCCTTATCGGTGTCAGCCTTGGGCAAGCACACCTCTGTCAGAGCCTTCCAGATCCGGCGCTTACACAACCCAACAGCTAGAGACCGACCCGATAACAGCATATCTCTCATTGGCTCTGCTGCAGACTGACGGCACCCATCTCGCGCGGTAAGATCTGTCTCACCAGTTCGCCTTAAGCCTTCGGCTTGAAACTCCCGATCCGGCGCTGACATGGCGAATGCTATGTCCGCACTACTATCTGCATTTCACCCAAGTCTGACAAGCGATGTTGGAGTAGCTGCACGAAGGCTGCTTTGGTGGGGCGCATTGCAGTGGGGCTGAGCAAGTCGCTGTGCTACCCTCTGCAGGTGTGCGATGTCCAGCTAGGAGCGGACTAAACACCGAATTTCGACAACTCTGAGATCTACGCCCTTACACCGCAATAACCAGACTCGACAATGAAAAAGTTTTCCAGTATGTTGTTGCCTCCAAAGGGCGTCAAGGAAGTAATGGATGACGAGGACGAAATCAAGGCGTTCGAAGCGTTCAAGACAACCACCGGTGGCGCTTTGCATCCTGCATTTTCTGTGCCCACCCAATACAACCGTCAACGTGGAGAGTGGAGAACTCTACCGAGCAAGTGAGTTTCCAAACGCCGCACCTTAACGCTCAAACAACGAGAAACTCATACTCGGAAAGCGAGCTTGAAGCTGTTCTTAAGAAGGCCAGTGCAGTGTTCCCTGGATGCAAAACCGAGAGTTGTACATGGAATGATGTGTTCGAGCGGATCGACGCGGTGAAAGAGGCGTACGACGCCAAAGCCCCAAAAGGGTCCTTCCGAAATTTCATTCGAAACGGCAAAGCAGATGCCACCACACTCAACTCTCTTTGCTTCATAATCCCAGAAGAATATGGCCTTGGTGTCTTACGTGGAGGACTGTCATTCATCTTCCAGGTACCCTTGCCCTATATGTGGAATTTGACATTAGTTAATCGTCTATCCAGGCCTGGGAACAATGCATCGAGAACCGAGAGAAAATACTCGAGCTACTGACAGACGTTGTCGACACTCTCAAAGCGACGGCCGAGATTTACAAGGTATTTCGAGATGACGAACTCAGGGAGAAGACGCGAGATCTCTACGGCGTTATTGTTGATTCTGTGAAATTGCTTACTGAGATGCTGCTTCGGTGTCGCAAAGATGGATCATGTAAGTCTTGCCCTGTCCGATGAAACTCGTCAACCCTCAGCTTCAACAGTCATCCGCCGTATAAAGACACGACTGCCGGATCACGAAGCAGTCGTGTTGGAGGGCCTCGATCATGAGATACAAAACGCCAAGGCCAGGGTGACGAGTCGAGTTGATATTCTCAACGCACAAACCATGCAGGATGTCCGCAAGACGGCGTCGGCTAACAGCATCGAGTTGCACGCAACGCGTTTTCGAGTTCAGGAGGTATCGCATGGTGTTAGGCGTCTCGATGGGGAAATGAAAACCCTTAACCGAAGCATCAAAGAGATGAAAGAAGACATTAAGCAAGATTTTCGGCGGCTGTTCGAGGGTGACATGTCACAGATGGTCTCCAAGAACGAGGTTGCTGCTACCGTGCAGACTCTTGTGTATGAGATCGTCGCGGAAATGGTGTGCCAAGCAAGTAAGTCGACTCCACAGGTATGAACCCTGTCACCAACTCATTCATCTCTAGAGCAGCCTCTCCAGCGAACTGTTGGAACCGAGGTCATCGCGGAGGAGCGACGTCTTACCCAGCAGACAATCTTGATGACGACGGAAGAGCTTCTGGGGATGCTCGGCGTCGATCTTGCATACTTGATCCGCGAGACGGAGCATATCTTGAGACAGAGCAACTCTTTACGACCAAAGGGTCTCGGCAAGGCGCGGTGGCTGCTCACGACCGCGCAATTCAAGAATTGGCTAAGTCAGCCGTTGTCCGGAATCCTCCTGGTTGATGGGCATTGCAAAGATGATGGTATCGGAAAGATATCTCCGTTGTCCGTCCTGTGTGCTTCCTTGGCAACCACGCTCGCCCAGACAGGCTCCAGTATGATCCTGCACTTCTTTTGCAGCAGTCATACCAGGGTTGAACAGGATCTGATCGGCGGACCATCTGGGCTTGTACGCAGCCTCATTACTCAGCTTCTCCTTTATCCTGACTCACCGGACGTCGAGCTAGATCCATTGGAGCAGAGTCTGTATGACGCAGTGTCGCAATACAACGTGCGAGCTTTGTTATCTTTGTTCGGATCGATCGTGGGGAACATGGATAAGTCAAAGACGATCATTTGCATCATAGACGGCATATCCGATTTCGAGACTCCGCTTCGTGGTTGGGATCGAGAAATCCTTGATGTCGTTGATCAGCTTCGAAACCTGGTGCACTGTCAGCGATCTGGTCCAGCGCTGAAGTTGCTCATGACTTGTCCAAACAAAACGCTGCACATTGGGTCGCTAGTGCATCGCGATCATGGGGAATATGTGTCCTTACGGTCAGGCAATGTCAGCGATAGGCCTGTGCGTGGGTTCGGATTCAACCAGGACGTCCAGAGAATGCTGATGCCATCGTCGCAGCAGAGTAGTTTTCTAGAGCCCGGAGGCTGGGGTGCCCAAGCAAACGCGTCGCAGCGAGGATACGCACATGTAGGGCGACCACGCTCTTCAGGCAGCAACGTTCCGGGTGGCTGATGCGCGTTTTGAATTACTGTGGAGAGATGATTCAATGGTGCCGTGATACTGTAACTTATCGAGCGAATCACGAATATTGCCGTACAGACGTACCCCAATGCACGCGATGGGAGGATGACATCGGCATGGTGTTCCGCTCATCTCTCGATGACGCACAAGCGGCCTTCGGCGAAACGTGTTTCCGAAGCGGTCCGGGCGCCGGGTCGCGCGCAACGCAGCAGCGCTTAGCTGGGCCAGCCCTCTGAGCCTTGGGTAGCTGATAGTGAATTGCAGCATTACCTTCAGTCTGACAGCATTTTTTTGTTCGCGCTCGTCTGAGAATGATCCGATTGTAATGATTTTGGGTGGTACTATGCGCCCAGCCTGACAGCGGCCTGGCTGCTCCGTCTGCCCACGACGTCCGGAGCGCGATCGACCAGTCTGATTCTCCTCTCTCAAGACCTCGCATCATGGACGACGTCTAGTTTCGTCCTTCAGGTCGATCGGGCGAAATTTTCTGTACCCAGATATGCCATGCAGACCTGGCTTCTCACTGACCATACCGAGTCGTTGTGTTCAACCCGTGGACATAACCACAAGCTGGATCTAGCCAGACTGCCTTTCGCGACAGGCGCCTCCTGTAATTCCTACAGCGAAGAGCAGAATGCACGATATCTACCGAACACCCGCACCGAGCTGCTAGACGTAATTGTATTCATCGATCTGGTGTTGCAAGCAACAGTATATAGGTATATAAGGATAAGTATCCGAGCTGCTAGACGAGACAACAATATGGATGAACAGCAAGGACGGGAAGTCTATATCCTGGCTGGGCGGCATGGTGGGCATGGGAAACTCTACGATAGCGCAGACGGTCGCTAGGTCTAGGGCAGCTCGGAGCAAGCTTCTTCAAGAAAGGCGATGGCAAGCGCGGCAACCTCTTGTGGCTTTTCAGCATCATCGTCCTGTGCCGCTGCTGAGTCTATCGTTCGACCAAAGCGGCAGCCGTTGCGGTGGGCATAAATAACGTGTGATATGGAATGGTTAGGCAAGGGAATGGAGACTTGCAGCGCGTGGCGATTGTGGAGCCGCATTGCTACATCATCAGAACCAAGGGATTTCTCAACCCTCTTTTCTCCTTGCCTCAGCCTTGCGCCACCCTTTCGCTCGCAATTATCCACATAAGCGGGCCGTAACGTATCGGGTACTGGCAGGTTGCACAACCGCAGCTGCGACGATGTGAACTGAACGTCGCCAATGCACTTTTCTCTGATTCATCTCTGGCCTATCGCAACGTTACTCTCCGTCGTCATATCTTCAGCCTGCTCTGATTACTATCGCGCTAGGTCTAGGCCTTGCAGTCCGTATCGTGGACATGGAGAGACACTATAGTCAACGCCTTACAGGAGTCCACAACGCAGTTGAAGCAACGCCACACAAGCCCTGTTGTGTATCGCGCAACGGTGACCTACCCTTTCAGCCACGCTATGGGCGAGCTTTGGACGAAGGGCAAAGAGCAGAAGGCTGACTTAACGGGACGACTGATCGGTGTGGTTCTGCGGCATCGCTCCTCAAATATCGGTACAATCAGGGTGTATTGTATGCAAAGTGGCAGCACATCAGTACCCATTGTTGGGCCCCTTACGTTTACATGAAAAATTGGCATGCATCCGCGGAGGACTTGACATCATGTCATGTCAGTTGCACACAGCCAGTGTGTATCTCACGTTGAATTCATTGGAGAGGCTGAGTATCGGGCTTCACATCACTATAAGCAGGACGCCCCTTTATTACCCACCAATGGATGTTGCACGGCATGTTCAACATGTCCATGGAGGTGACCTCACTTCCCGGCCGCCGTCTTCAAGTATAAGGTGCAAACGGGCCTGTACCTCACATCGCATACCAGCCTCGCCCTTTACTTACCCACGTGCGTAACAGTATCAATGGCAGACTGATGAGTGCTCTCACCCCGAATATAGACACCAAGAATCTCGATCCACCCAAAGATAGCAACAAACCCTCACAGCCAACAATGACCGAACAAAAGACCATCGCCCTCATCGGCTCCACAGGCTTCCTAGGCCCCTACATCACCGCCTCTCTCCTCCAAAAACATCCCGACACCACCATCCTCTGCCTAAACCGTAGCAAAGACGCAGAACAACGCACCACCTCGTCTCTCACCCGCATCAGCAACGAAGACCTCACCCGCCTCACCTTCATAACAACCGACATCACACTCCCGCACCTCGGCCTATCCCCCACCCAATACACCCACTTCACGAGCAGCGTCTCGGAAATCGTTTTCAATGCGTGGAACGCAAATTGGGCGACGCCTCTCATTGGCTACTTACCCCTCCTCAATGCTGTTCAACATGTTATCGAGGCATGTATCACCAGCCCCCTAAACCCACGCGTGACCTTCGTGTCGTCGAATACCTCGATAATGAATCATCCAACTCAGCACCCTTCCACTCCGCTCATCCCCGAAGTCCCCGCTTGGGACTTCGCCAGCGCAGCGAATACGGGTTATGGCCAGAGTAAATGTCTTGCGGAGCAACTTCTTGCTCACGCAGGGAGGGAACATGGGTTACGCGTGGCTATCGTACGCGCAGGCCAGATCGGCGGTGCATCATCCGCCATATCCAATGCGCCGCAGTGGCCAATCCAGGGCTGGTTGTGGGTGATTTTCAAGACAAGTCAGAAACTGGGGCACTGGCCCGTGAGGATGAATGCTGTGGATTGGATTCCTGTTGATTCGTTGGCGGAGGGTATCGCCAATGTCACAGTGTCCCAACAAAGCACATCTGCAGACAATGTTAAAGTGTACAACATGATGCACCCCCGCCCCGCGCCTTGGGCGTTGCTGCAAAAAGTGCTGGTGGAGCGATTTGGACTTGAGGTAAGGGAATGTAGTCTGCCGCAGTGGTTGGGGATGTTGGACCCGCAGAAGTTCAAGATGCATGCTTTTCTGACGGAGGGAAGGGAGGGGAGGGAAGGTGAGGCGATGGTTTTTAGGAATGAGAATGCGAGGGAGATGTTGCCGGAGGTGGAGGATGTTACGGGGGAGTTGGTGGAGAGGTGGTTGAGGGGGTGGGGTTTGAGGCTGGGGGAGGTGAGGGCGAGGCTCTGATCTGGGTGAAGTATGTGTACGGATGGAAACATGGAAGTGGCTTCAACATAGAATTCGATTTAATCAAATCTTAGCGCTACATATCATGCAACTGCGCTATACGGTCCTGCCGTCGGGTACCCAGTTTGTACCATCTACAAAGTCTGCTTGCCTCTCGTCTCAATAGGCAGCACCAACATACTAAAGAACGCAGCGATGAACAGACCACCACTGGCGTAAATCGGCGCCTTGGGGTTACTTCCACCCGCCTGGATAGCAACAATGGGCGCGCAAAGACCAGCAACGCGGTTCAAGAAACTGCTCATTCCAGTACCAGTGCCACGGATTGGGGCAGGGAAGACTTCAGGTGTGTACGCGTACAAGACACCGTACATGATGTTCTGGAAGAAAGCCTCGAGACAAGTGAATGCGAGCTGGAAGTCGGAGTCGGAAGAGATGGTGAAGAGGAAGACGAAGACACCGGTGATGACGGTGGCGATGGCCATGGTGCCCTTGCGGCCGACATATTTGAGGTCGACGGTGTAGCAGGCGAGGATGGATCCGGGGACTCCGACGATGGCGGTGATGGCGTAGTTGCGGTAGACGATGCTGATGTCGTTCTCGACGCCGCCACCCGAGTTCTTGAGGTACTGCGGGAGGAAAGCGTTGAACAGCGGGTAGGCCATACCGATGGTCGACCATTGGAACCAGAGTAGAGCAGTGGTAAGACCGATCTTCTTGTCCTGGAACAGAGTCCTGAAGCGCTTCATCGAGAAACGGCTAAGGGAGCGCTTGACGATTTCGAAGACGCTGAGCTTGACATCTTCTCCGGTGACTTCCTGGTCGCCGCCGATTTGGTTGAGAATGTCCTCGGTGAGCCAGGTGTGCGTCTTGTTGTAGTGCGCAATACCGTAGACGGTGGCGACGGCCTCGGCTTGGCGACCGCGAGACAACAGGAACTTGGGTGACTCGTAAAGATGGAAGAGGAAGAAGCGGCAGATGAACATGAAGAATGTGATGGCCCCAAGAGTCAGGATGAGGTATCGCCAGCCCATGTTGTCTTCCATGCGGCATTGTCCGAGGGGAGTACCGTCGGCGCACGAGAAGTTGGGAATGAATGCCCATGCCACTGCAGATCGTTAGTGAATGATGAATATAGCTAACGGTATCGACTTACGGAGCGAGGCAACCAGGTTACCAACGGGCCAGAAGATGGAAAGGAGCGTGAGGAGGTTTCCCGATGTTTGAGGCAAGAATTCGAGGAACAAAGCGCCATCAACTGGGAGGTTACCGCCGACACCAAGACCAATGCAGGCGTAGAGTGCGCATGTGCCGATCCAGTTGGGCCCGCCGCCGGATGCAAGACCAAAGACACCAGCGAGGAAAAGAGTAAAGTTGAAAGCGAGACGGCGACCGATAATGTCAGAAGCGGTACCCCAGAAGGAAGCGCCAATGCAGAGACCAAGGAAGAGCGCCAGTGTGGTGTATCTGACTTCCGTCTCGCTGACACCGAACTCAACGCTGAGTTGTGGTAGTGTAAGAGCAACACCCTGTATCTTGGTAAGTCCTGTTGGTTGATGAGGAATTTGACATGCGCACCTGCAGCCACAAGTTGTCGGCCATCCAACCGCCACCGCAAAGAGCAAAAAGCTGCCATTGGTAGCGGCCCATGCCCATGTCCTGCAAGGCTTTGTTGATAACCTTGGACTTGCCTGTGGAAGATCAGTACTGTTTCCTCGTGAAAATTACCGGAGGTGATAGGAAAAGCCACACGACGTACGGTCATATGGCGTGTCGTTGTCCGAAGCAGCGACCTCTGCTTCAATCTCTGCCTTCAATGCTGCGACTGTCAAGCCATGGTTAACAACACCACTAGATGCATTACTGTCAGGGCGCGTGAGGCCATCTTCTGGTTTGTCGTCTTTGGTCGTCTTCTCTGTTGCTGCGAGGGAGGCGCGTGGGTGGGTGGAAGCTACAGAAGCGCGATGGGTCGAGTCATCAAGAGGCACATGGACGCCGGGGAATTCGTCGACATGATGGGCCTTGAAGGGATTCACAAACATAGTTCGGACCATCTTGGCGTAGTGATGGTGGTGGTGCCGCGATGGAGGATGGGCGTGGAGTTGTTGCTTGGGGTTGGCGCAATGGTAAAGAGGGGTGCGATAATGGGGCAGTCGCAAGTGGGATGGTGCTGTCCAGGGTCGTCGAGCCTTCGATGGCGCTGTAATCTGGTGGCGTTGTCGTTTATGTGTCGAACCGTCACGGCGTATTCACCCAAGCAGGATGCTAAAGGCTTGTGAGGCTTGGAAAAGCTTGTATATTGGATGTGGCAAGCTTCCGCGACAGCAGGGTCGCAGGAAATTGATGACAAGAGTTACACGAGCTCGGTCCTGGAGGAGGGTCATGGCCCCTCATATACTCCAGCTCTCCCCGGCGCCGCCCCTGTCAAAAAATCTTTTGGAACGGACAGATGGTGTGGAGTCGTTGGTACGGTGCGCCAAGGTAGCGGCATTAAGGCGCGCCGTGACGTAGTGCTTGGTGGACCAAGCATCAGACCCCATCACGTTCCTCTGCCGTTCACTGCAAAGATCATCCCACGTCGCCTCTGTGGTTCGCTCGATCCTATTAGGCTTGGCCTTAGCTAATACCATCGGTCTGGTAAGCTTTCAGTCTCTCTTCTTGTGCGTGGGTGCGCCTGCAGCAGCGCGCCTGATGGGCGCAATGACAGAACCTTACACGCTGAGCCCTCGATGAACACAACAGCTCACAGACCAGGCGCATCGGTTGACATTGATGGCTACCACCACAGATCGCCGTTGCTACTGCGACGTTGACCTCGCGTCGCGAGGCTGTTCGCTTGTGGCGGACCCGACGAATTTTGCCGCGTGCCGAAACGCAACTAGACTAAAGACGTGCCGATTACGTTTACTTTCGCAGGCTTCGCACACGCGAAATGGCTAAGAAGACCGGCCTCAAATTATCGCCAGACTTTAATCACACCGACAGTAAGCGGGGTGGCTCGAGTGTTCTCGTTGCATGCCCAGATCAGGCATGACGTCCCAGAGATATCAATCTCAGAACGCGCGGGATGCCTTCGACCCCAACATCGATGGGAGATCGACATGCCCTGAATGCGCGGCCTGCCACTGCTAATCTACTGGAAAGACCGAGACCGAAACGCTCGAATTGCAACGAGAAATCTGCCGTTCACTGTGGCAGGTTGTTGGACCCTTGCCCGGCTCCACACCTGCCAACCACTGCAGTAAGTTCACCGGTCTCCTCCGAATGCAACACTTTCCCTGGCAGCACGTGCCGAGTAGGCGCGAGGGTGGGCCTGCCCTAAAGCAAGTCGCATCGACAACGGGCAATGTCACGCGACATGCTCGATACAAGGACCCAGGGCCTTTCTGTTGACCTCGTATCGCCTCGGTACTGTAGTGCTACCCGAATGTAACCTACGTACGGCATTACTTGGCGAAAGCAAGATCAAGAATCTTTCGGTTCTTCCCATCATGTGTCGCCTGAATCTGACACCAACTGCATCTCTCGAGCGACACCATAGGCAAAGCTGCAGGACGGCATGCATGTCACTGAGGAATGTTTGCGCACTCTGCGCCCGGTGTCGGCATCTTCCCAGTATCAGCCTTACAAAGATACATAAGGTTTGATTCGATCTTTCCATCTCTCTCACCCCAACTGCTCCAGCCTTGCGTTGAGGCTGCCTTGAGGTGAGATGCGTGTTCCTCCCAAATGGCAACGGCGAACGTCGTCTGAAATTGGACGAGGTAGTAGCCCTCCTCATTGATCCGCTCTATCGTGGGTCAGCCTTCCTTCGAGCGACATGCACCAGCATCTTCTGTCAACAGTGCCATAAACACCACTCAGCAATAGCACGACCATCATTTCTATCAACTGTTACTATCAGCTACGAACATGTGCGACGCCGAACCCCTCGTCAGCAAGAACAGCGCTGAATGCGTGGTTGCCTTCTACAAGCTACTTGATGAACGGAAACGTTTTGCAGCGTCCCGATCGGCCGCAACTACACCCAAATGGCCAGCAGCCTGCAATGATCACTACTGTGACCAAGAGGTGTGTCAACACGAAGTCATTGACTTGTCCTCCATGTGTGAGCCGTCCGATAGCGATAGCGATAGCGATAGCGACTGCGACTGGCAGCCTTACATCACGGCCGACAAGAAATTCCCCATCATCGGATACGAATCTCCATCGAACAGTGAACAGTCCTTGACTGAGAGCTGCCGTCAATACTTCGCTGATGAAGCGGATGAGTACGCCGTTGAGGACGTCCAGATCAGGTAGGTGACCTGCTGACATCATTTAGCATCGTCCGTCTCCGTTACAACACACCACCCACAGTCTACGATGAGCAAGACCACGGAAGCCGTCGAATGTCTTCGATAGACCCCAAATCAAGCATTCGCGCCCTCCGACAAGAACTGGACAACCTACAGATCAGCAGCGCACAGTCTTTCCTTGACCTAGAAGAACAGTTGGACAACCTATCCTCATCACACGGCGTTCTGCGCAGAGACTACCAAGGTCTCGCTGACAAACATAACACACTCCTGGGGCTTTCATTGAAGCAGAGCAAAGAGCTGAGCAATCACGCCAAGGTCTTGACGGAAATGAGCGAGTGGAAAACGCGCACGGAGAACAGCTCTGCTGCGGTACGCGTTCAAGGGCAAGAACCGGAGGTTTTGTATTTCGACACACCGCGTTCGACTTCCACGGCGGAGATTGGACTGGAGGATCTGAGAGCTACTCCTCAAGCGACGGAGAATCAGGATGTTACATCGACATCGGATAGACGAGACAGCGGTGTCGGAGGGATACCACCACCTCCGAGCAATCCTCCCACGACGCCTGAACGACGTGCCACACATCCGCGCTTGATCCTGAGACTATCGGCCAAGCCAGTCACGAAGGAGGAAGTCATGGGATCTCCTAGTGCTTTGGAAACGGACGAGCCGCAACGCCCAAAGCGCGTCAGGAAGCCCACGGAGAAGCGCAAGGCCGCTGAGCTGGAGGCTGCGTCGGCAAGGAAAGCGAGGAAGCTGAGTTGCAAATCAGCCCCGTTCTGATTGCGTGAGTACAACGTCTGGTCGATTGTTGACATGGTGTTGAGGGATTAATGAGGCCATCGGTTATGCATGGTGGCTTGCACTGGGTATAGCAACAATAGCACTATTGCTTTTCCCTCTCCACGTGCAAAGAAAAACGAAGTTACTAAACAATAGCTTGTCTCCATGCACCGCCACACATGACGATGTTCGCGGCGACTTAGGGCCTCCGAAGGTTTTCGGGGTTGAGCCACCCTGCGACACTTAACTTCAGCCCCGTCCGCCCTTTTCTGAACGTCTAAATTTGCGGAGATTCGTGTTGGCATTCTTTGTACGCCGAATTGAAGCATTCAGCAATTGCATTTACATGGTTTAGACATCGCATCAGGAGCGAGGTAGTTTCGAGCGCCAGCGTGACTAAGACTATGGTATGCTATTACTATATGCTTAGATGTACGTCAAAGAGCTAAACTGTTTGAACTTAGAAAAATGACCCGAGTACCAGGCACGCGATGAGGACTGCACTGCGTGCGAGCGCATCATCGTTCGCTGTCAAAGTCCCGCTGGGTGCATACTCGTCTACCACCGAGTTAAACCCAACCTTGCGACTGCGGCAGTCGCACACAGGATCCAGAGGCTACCGACTCGTTGACCACCTATTCCAGATCTGATAATCCGATCCCTTCTTCACCCCCCTGGAGAAGCCGTGACTTCGCGCTCGAGATAGTGCCGGAGGGGGTACACAGCGCCGACAAGATCACGATCCCAGCATGATCAAGAGCCATCACCAGTAGCGTTCCATCCATCCGGCTCTCCTTGCGCGTAAACATCTATATGCAGATCCTGCCAATCCCAAATTTGCTCCATACCACCCATATCAACAGCAGCTGGATCTCCAACCGTGCCAAAGGGGTTCTGAGCAAGGAACTGATCGATATCGAAGGAAAGCTCATCCGAGATCGTCATCGACGGAAGATCGCCAGCAGTAGAAAGTACCGGTGCAGCGGTCGGCTCCGGCGGCGCTGTGTTCTCCACCGGTGGCATCACCGCTACAGGCGCAGGTTCATGCGCCGGCACCGGCGGTGTCGTCGTGGGTACCGAGGAAGAAGTTTGTCGTTGTCGCTTGCTCGCCGATGAGTACCGTGAAAGCTCCGGTGTGGCCTGCACGAGCTTGAAGAGGAAGTTGTACGACGTAGCGCCTAATTTCGTCGTCCCGCTGAGTTGATGCAGCATATCCAGCGAGCTTTCGATTACATCAACAATCTCCTCGCGATGAGGTAGGAGGTGCTCGCGGTCGTGGATGATGGCGGAGCAGAGTAAAGTCGCCGTGTCGAAGATCGCAAACACAACCATGTGGAATTTCGCGTTGATGGGGAACTCGTGGTCGAAGAGCTGGCGCGCTACTTTCAGAAGGCGCAACGCGATGTCAACGCCTTTCTTCCGGAACTCGTCGTCTTGATCCGCTATCGCGTCTTTTCGTTCTCGGGTCAGGTAGGGCTTGAAGAAGTTCAGCATCGTTACGAAGATGACGCAATGTAGCTGACAGCGCTGAAACACGAAGAAAGGATGGGACTCATCGAATGATGTGTCGGGGTCTGTGAAGCGGAAAATGGGTGGTAGCTCCTCGATGAACTTTTCGCATTCCGCTTCTATTGCCAAGACCTGCTTGTCCGAGAGGGCGTGTTCAGATTGGGCATTCCCCATGGTAGCGGCGATCCTACGGCCGAGGGTTGCTTGAAGGGCGATGTGTGCGAAGGGTGATAGTAGGTTTGGCTCCGTGGTCGACTTGTCGAGCCGTAGATTGGGGAACTTGAAGTCGAGATTCTTTTGGTCGATGAGGTTTGGACGGCCGAGCCATGCTGACATTTGCCTGTGCGAGAGTCAGGTCATGCTTCCAAAACGTAGTTTTGAACTTACCAGTCCCAGATGTACAGCAACGTCCAGAGACGTCTCCTGATCTCTATATCAAACTCACACAGGCCTTCGATACCTCCATCCTTATCGATACCCAGCTCTTGCGCTTCCCGGATCGTGCGCGAAAGCGCATGCCACGACTCTACGATCTTGGACTCGGCCTTCAACCAAACGCACTTCAAAAATAGCTCTTGCACGCGTTCAACGCTTGTTCTCGCTGCTCCAAAACTCCGGCTTAGCTCTTCCGCCGCGTCGGAGAACCGGTCGGTGAGAGTTTGGCAATTGCAAGCCAACTCAAACTCAATCATCTTGCGGAGCGCGGGTGTGAGGTACTGCACTGAGTATGCGCAGATCCTCAGCAGCAGGCAGGTAAATTCTGGAGAAAGTTGCTTGCCGGCACCGCGATCTGCCCACCATTGGACATACTGTTCGGCTAATGTTGGGCCGTATATTGCAGTGTAGCGGTAGTTGACGACATTGAGGAAGTGGTTGACGAACGCATCTGCTCATGGTTAGAGAATGGATTATTAAGATCTCGCGATGTTTGTGCCTACCCGTTATTGATCTTGGCGGAACGGCTGAGAGGACTTTCTCGAGAACATCCGTCGTAACGGAGCTTTCTGTCGGTGAGTCTTTTCGTGGACCATTCTTGAACGTGTTAGTTGATATCAATACTGTGGGGTGTCTTCTTACCTCTTCCACTCCGCCTACTTTGTAGTGCACATGACCAGGCATGTACCCCCACGCTTTCAGCCCATCTTCAAGCTCTTCCTGCTCGCCATCCTGCGACAGGAATTGCGGCTCTGCAGAGTCAGGAGCGCTTCGTTTTGTGCCTTTGATGCTGGAGGCCGAATTTTCACTGCGCAATCGTTGTTAATACCGCGTTCCGCTAATGGCGGGGTAGGTAGGACGATCTACATACCGGGATGACTCTGGAGAAGGCTCCTGCTGCCCTCTTTTGACAGAGAATTGACAAAGATGGGGTACTTTTCGTGCCTGACAGTGATTGCAGGGCCATTCTCGCGAGCACTAGCCGCGTCATTAGTTCAAGGGGTAGATGCAGGGCCAATGTGGAGTGTCGTCACCTTTTGCTTCCTCCGTTGACACTCAGTACAGGACGTCGTCGCGCGACTGTCTTTCAGCGATTGCATGGTCGCCATTACACTTGATTGAAGACCGGTCAAGATTGAGTAGTTCAAGGTTTATGAAAGCATGGCGAACGGACGAATCCAACGCTGTTGAGTTGTGGATCGGACCCTAAGACCGACCCCACCAGATCCACAAGAGCCGCCGCGCCACCTCCACGGGCCGAAGTTTTGGAGCCAGCCAGAGCTGACCCTGATTTCTCAGCACGTCATGTGATGTGTGGCGACGCTTTTCCGTACGAGAAACTGTAATGTCTACGCGAGCGGAAACCTCAATTTTGCAGGATCGACGGAACCTCCGACATTGGCACAGTTTGCCCAGGCGGCAGTTGATTAAATCGCGCGGCTGTGCCACAATCCGGTGGCTTCGCTGACGGAGGACGCAGCGACAATGTTCGTTCCTTTCGACCTCGTTCATACGACTAGTAGTGTCGCCTACACGTCCCTGGCATTAGTTCTACGGATCTGCGCGCATCGTCTAGACCGCGCGAGGCTCGCTTGCGCACTTCGGGGTACCTTCCAGAGTCCCCCGAGGCCGAGCATCCGTGGATGTCACCTGACGACGCGGTCCATCGACGTGTCGCGCATCGAGGGCCTTAGGAAAGGTTGACATACTATGGCATGAGTATAGGTTCAATCACTTCATGGCATCGCCTTGAGACAGTCGCGGTCATGTTGGAAGGCCTCACTGGTGTTGCCTTGGCTAGTCCAGGCATGATGTCATCGCACCTCGGATGCTGCTTGCAGCCTGGCAGCTAATCTCAAAACACCACGATACCGGCACATAGTGACATCTACGGCTAGCAGCTCAAAGGTCTTCAAAAATGTAACCCAGGTCTAAGATGCCACTTCATCCTCTCCCACAGCAGCACCTAGGACGCCGCTTTCGACATCATGGCACGCGCCCTGCCTCTCATACCCTGGTCCAAGACCTCCATTCTTAATTGTCGCATGCATTTGAACTCGTCGAGGATAGCGCAGCACGCAGCTCTGGACCTGTTCGTTCTTGGATTTCCCCACCAAGCCAACAAACTTCTCGAGTCAATCCATAAGTACGGTCTTGACACAACAACCTGGGACTACTACGGTCACACTACCGAAGAGCAGTTGCAAGGAGCATGGACAACTAGCGACACTTTCCCAACATGGGCCCGCAGAGCAGACGACGCGGATGCGGATAGCATCAGCACCGCGGGTTTGCCGAACGACATCGCAACGAAAGCTGAGGAAGGGACGCTCAGTAAAAAAGATGTGGAAACCGTACGCGAGCGCCTAAATATGAAGCCGGATGCTACCTACAGGCATGCCGGGGAAACCATGACGCTCGGTGCGGTGACACAGATCGCGTTACTTGCGGACGAGCATCGTCTAGCTACCAGTCTGGTCGAAGATAACATGAAAGAACTATATCAGTACTTGCTGGATAATTGGGACAACCCAGATAGAAGCGGTGACGAGACCAGGCACTACATATTTCGTCGCCAAGGCTTGGAGGATTGCCCAGGCATCTGGCCCGTTCTCGCGTCTGTTAAGCTCGGGGATACGTTCGGTGTGCGTGCATCTGACGTGGATGAATATGTCAAAGAAGGTTGCGCCCTCATCGAGAAGCGTTCTACCGAAGGCCCCGCTCGACCGTATCGATCCAAAACGATGGCCGAACTTGTAAAGATGGTTGACAAAAACATCCTCACCGAACGCGAAGATAGCGGTGAAGATACAATATCCACTGTTCTCAAGGACGGCGCAACGGAAGCTCAGATTGCCGCCCTCGAAAAACGCCTCTCCTCACCCGACGAGCATTCGTTCGTCGCGCTCCCTGACGGAAAGCTTCCTGATGACTACAAAGACTTCCTACGTGCGAGCAACGGCATCGATGAGGAAATCTTCTACAGCACGGACGAAGTTAATACATCAGGAAGCTGGATGCATGACATGGACTATACTCTGTTCCCCAACGAAAACAACGGCCACCTCCTTCATGGCAGCGATAGAGACTTCGACGAGATCGAACTAGGCGACTACGCGTGCTTCACCATCGGCACTGGCGATGGTGAAGGCAACGTTACACTTATACCACCTGCGTCGGTCAAACCCATCGTCGAGAAATTCGAGAAGGTGTACGCGGAAGCAAACGAGGGAAACAAGAGAGTTTACGAGCGTGCAGCTTTGGATCTTTATGGTGGTATAGATCAGCTCAGGGCGTTGGAGTGGCTATGCATCGAGTTTCAGCACTCCGCGTATGAGGAGAGGATTTGGGGTGGGCTTAAGCCTTTCCTGGAAGAGTATGTCAAGTGGGGAGTTGATCAATGGGACGCAGTGGAGAGACGAGAAAGGAGGGACATGAAGAAGGAGCAGGAGGAGAAGGCTAAGAAGAGGAAGAGGTAAGATGGTCAGTCTGATGGGGTGAGCGACGACACCAAGTCCCTTCGTGCGGCGTAGGAAGGATTTGTAGTCCGTCAAATGGAGTCTGTGGCCTCAAGCTCACTGTCAGCCTCGCAGTGGCGCAGTCGCGGCTTACTTGGTTCAGGTAGGCAGCATTGCTGGGAGGGACAACGCCTCGTTCTTTAGCCGGAAAGATCGGCAAAACCCGGTGTGCGCATGATCCTTGGCAGCATGTCAGCACCAGCCCCGCGTATAAAGCGCGCGAATCTTCTGGTTTGCAAGACTCTCGCGCTACTTCTCGGAGCCTCAAAAGCGCGAAATCCAAACATTCCATCAATGCCATAATCATGGCCACGATTTTTCGTGCGCATATGACTTGATAACGCCGTCGACAAGTCGAAAGGCCAGTTTACGACTTCTTGATTCGCTTTTGGGCTTTGCAAACGGTTTATGACGGACCGAGCGATATTCTTCCGCCATGGCTACAGAAGAACGATGGTCACAGCTATTCGATATGATTAGACGCAAAAGAACAGCAGAATTTGAAGCACTGCTCGAGAATCGTGACTTCGATCTCAATCTTCAGAATAATGAAGGCGTCTCTCTAATACACGAGGCTGTACGCTGTCGCTCCGAAGCGATTGTGAAGATGTTGTCGGAGAAGGAGGATGTCAATGTCAATATCCGCAACAAGAAAGGTCGGACTCCACTATGGGAGGCCGCTTTCTTGGGCTTCAAGGCTGCCGTCGAGATACTACTGAACAACGTTAGAGTGGACCCAGAGGCAAGAGATGAAAACGATCAAACACCGCTGTCTGCTGCCGCAATGCAGCGAGGTGGCAATTTAAGATCCGCTGCCGCGACGGCGCAGGAGAACGTTGTGGAAGCGCTGCTTGCCAGTGGAAGGGTCGATCCTGACGCGCAAGATGCACGTGGTCTTACACCTTTAGCTTGGGCTTCGCGAGCCGAAAAGTCGGTCAGGGTTGCCGAGATACTACTCAGCACTGGCAGGGTGGATGCGAATTCAAAAGATGAGCTCGGTATAACACCGCTAATGTGGACTGCACCATTCCACAACGACAAAGTAAAGGAACTGCTGCTCAACAGTGGTGGGCTTGACGAAGGCCTGAAACCCAACACCGGCTCTACCAAAATCATCAAGAAGACTATAAACTCTCGGTATATTACTCATTGGATGACGTCCTGTGACGATCACCACGGAGAAAAATGTAAGCCAGCACCACTTGAGGACAGATCGCCTCAACAATTGCCACATTGGGTTATCGACATTAGTCGGGCGTGTTTGGTAGCTGGTAATACCGTATCCCGGTACGTTGCCTTGAGCTACGTATGGTCACAAGGCTTATACAACGACTTCAATGACAAGCGTCCACCTGACTCTATTTTACTAAAGAAGCTCAACTTATCGGACTTCCGAAAACCTGGATATCTAAAAGAAGTGTCGGTGCAACTCCCCACCGCTGTCAAAGACGCCATAGCGCTGGTTCGCAAGCTTGGGGGGACTTACCTGTGGGTCGACTGTTTATGCATCGTCCAGGACGATGAAAAGACACGTGAGCAGGTCAATCACATGGGTGATATATACTCTGGTGCGTATCTCACTATCATAGCGGCAACTCCCATGGGTAGGCTGCACGGGTTCTCCAGTCCCTATTACAATGGATGTGGACTGGACGAAAAGGTAGAAGACCTTTACGACGATCTCTACAGCACTACTTGGGCCAGTCGTGGTTGGACTTTCCAAGAGCAGATACTCTCGAAAAGAGCAGTTGTCTTCAACAGTCGTTATCTGTTTTGGGAATGTCAGCAATGCGTCTGGAGTCCAGACGGACCCAGGCCGGAATTGACTACAACCGGGAATATGTCTCTTACTGTCCCGCACTTCGAAAAGGCTAGCCGTATGCTATCTAGCTGTTACCCCGACTTCGATCTATATACTGAGATGATCAGTCTCTATAACAGTCGTGTATTTACGTACCCGCAAGACGTTTTACCGGCCTTCTCTGGAATCTTAGCAACACTAGGACGCAACTTCCCTTCTGGATTCCAATATGGATTGCCTCGTGTTCGTCTGGACATTGCGCTTCTTTGGCAGCCGTTCCTCAAAGCGCGTCGCAGAGTACGAAGAAAACAAAATTGTGGTAACATAGCGCCAAAAGCGCATCTACCTTCGTGGTCATGGTGTGGATGGACCTGCCCCGTCGATCCATATCATCTTCGGACACGATCTTCGTTCTTCAATCAAGATAACGGCACGTCTCAGATACCGGTATGGAGAACACGGAAGCTCGTAGAGTGGTACTCGCTACCCGAAGATATGCACTGCCAAGTACCAGCGGACAGGCTATTGGGAACTGAAGATGGGCTATTCAAGGACTTCAAAGACGGCATATCGTCGACTGTACCGGAAACCCACGTGGCGGGTAATGACGGCCCTGCGGAAGGAACCGCGGGAACCGTTCACTCAGCCTGTCAAAACTCAGAGCCTTCAATGCCTCTCGATCCTACACAACTCAGTTGCAGTGTGCCATACGCTCCGCAGCCCCATGATACCTGGCCGTTTCTTTCGTGCCAGACATCCTGTCTGTCATTGTACATAAAAGCGGTCCTGCATTCTTTTCCTGCTTCATTGCGACAGCTGATGAGATACAGTCCATACAGGTCCATATACAAGCTCCCACAATTCGGAAAGGGGCCAACGCTGAAAAATGCCTGCGACCTTATTTGTCTTGAAACCCAAGAAGGACTCCCTGCTGGTATGCTACGCCACATGGAAGAGGCTAAACTTGGGCCAGGCGGCATCGTTGAGCTTGTAGCCATATCTACTGGAACCATCAACTCCACTGGAGTTGAAGGCGATGAAGAGGATAAATTTTATCGGCTAAATATGGAGGCATATGTGATCGGCGGCTCTGGGTATTTAAAAACCTCTGAGTATTTAGGTCAGTGTGACAACCAGGCCCCTTTTCTGTCCCAGAATCACAACGTCTCACCCAACGCCGAGCTAACGACTATCCAGAAGTCAAGAAAGAGATGGAGTTGTATGGTGAAGAAGGCCCAGATGGACGGGAGTACCACTTCTACAACGTCCTATGGGTTGAGCGCAAGGAAGGGATAGCATACCGGCGTGCATCAGGACGGGTGCCAAAGGCAATTTGGGATGCAGACTGTACCCCACTAACGAAGATCATCCTTGGCTGATCACGGTCGATCGACTGACTAGAATGCATCTCTACTTAGCCTCTCCACCCGCATCACTCTGTTGTATTTGTATTCACGAGCCCCGTCGGGTAAGCGGCATCACATGTGCGGAGACGGGTCAGGCAGCTTCGCGCTATGAGCATGCGTTTGTAGCTCTAGGAGCTACGGACAGATGTTGCGCAGCAATCACGTTGACTGCGCCACTAGCTCGAACTCCGGACGAAAATCGACGGTGTCCGTGCCCAGACGACATCACAATTCCATGCATGGGGTAATCAGCAAGAGGAAATATAAACAGGTGTCGTCTGCTACACTCGAGAAGATCCTGTATCGGCCAGACTGCTATTGGTATACTCCTCTAGAACAGCTTTCAACATGGTCAAGATATTTGCGTAAGCTTTCCCTCGGTATTGGTCGAAAGAGACTCGCTGATCTGTATGTGAACTCTACAGCATTGGGGTTACTGGTTGGGTTGGTAATGCAAGCGCTCGTGCGATCGCAGCTGCGCACCCCGACTACGAATGGACAGTCCTCCTTCGCAACAAGACGAAAGAAGAGAGTGTGAAGCAATTCGTGCCCCAGGGGACACGATTCGTGATCGGAGACTTTGACAGTCACGACGTCATTTCCTCTTCGGCAGCGGCCGCAGACATAGTCATAAACTGGGGCAGCAGCGACCACGAGCCGCTGAACAAGTCCATCATCGACGGCATGAAGAAGAACAAGTCCACCTGCTACCTCATCCACACCTCAGGCTGCGGTATACTCACCGGTGAAGTTGCCAGGACGGAGACCTACGGCCAGGCTGCCACCAAGGTCTACGACGACTGGGACAATGCAACTGACCTCCTAACGCTCCCTCCCGAAGCGCCACACGTGAACATCGACACCATGATCCTGGCGCTCGACCGCAAAGCGCCGCACATCAAAACCATGATCGTCTGCCCACCCATTATATACGGCACGAGCCACGCCCAGGACACGCAGGAGCGCAGCGCAGCACGACAATACGTGAACTCCATCCTAGACCGCGGAAAGGGTTTCGCAGTCGGTGACGGCAAGGCAATCGTCAACACGGTACACATTACCGATCTAGCAAGCTTCTTCGTCATGGCTACGGAAGCAGCCGCGCAGGGTGGTGGCGCCGCAACATGGGGAGGTGTGGGCTCGTATTACTTTGTGGAAAGCGGCGAAATGGTGTGGGGCGAATTCGCGCAAGCTGTTAGCAAAGCGGCTTTCGAGAGAGGGTTGCTGGACACACCGGATGTGGACTTTCTGAGCGCAGAGGAGGCCATGAAGATTGATCCAATTAGCAAGATTGGTTACGGCTCCAGTGCGAGGTCCAAGGCTGTTCGCGCTTACAAGACTCTTGGTTGGAAGCCGGAGATGCTTGGGATCTATGAGGATTACCTTTCGAACTGGAGGTTCAAGGCGGGCGAACCGCATTTGTTTATGTAAGGTCGCAGGCGCAGATCGTGGGTTGCGCAAGCGACCCACAACTTCCGTAGAACCATGGTTAGCTGCATCTCTAGACTGTGAGCAAAAAGAAGTGCACAACAGTGAAGCGCGCCACATTTTTGCGCGATCGGCGTGGGTTTCGCACGAGGGAGGCCGGCGACTATGGATTCTGAGGGGGCAAAAAGAAGGCCAAAAACATACAACAGCGGGGATTCGCTAGTGGTCACCCACCTAACTACTAATCCGCCGGTATCATGCTTGTATATGGCTGAGCGGACGGGAAGCCTAATTTTCATGATCCTATGGTCGTATGTGAAGGGATGGGTAATCAGCCGGATTATATCATCGGTGTAAACGCTTGGGAGGAGAGCCAGTCGAGTTGGCCAGGCTGGGCGGCTTCGGAGCAGCTGTATCGCAGGGCGACGCGACGTGTCTGCATATAAAAGGAAGGCAATAGGCCCAGAGGAAAACGTGAGAATGTGAAGATGTTGTTGCAAGTTTCGCGCGAAAGGAGGCCCGCGGGCATGCGCCGCACGAGCGCGTCACGTTCGTGCCAAGGACGCCAGTCAGGATCGCGCTACGCCGCTTCTCTGTCGTTCGCTCCTCATCTCGGAACCGCGACATCTCCTGGGCATCGCATCAATATACGGCAAGATGAGCTCCTAAATGCGCGCGTCAGTTATACTATCGTGTTCAAAAGTCAGGTGCTACGACGTGTCCTGACGCCCGGGGCTACATCGTCGACCCACCATCGTCCCCGCCAGTTCGACATTACATCACGCAGTCTATCCACTTCCGGGAATCACTATCCAGCGTGCATTATCGTGGAAGGCCAAAATATCATGTGTAAGTTACATTAATCTAATAAGACTTCTCATGTGCGCAGACACATGATGATGCGGCAAAACGCTCGTGTACACGATGCGCTTCTCGCCGTGCGAAAGCCAGGCATTATCTATCTCTATTTGAAGAAGGGTCGAAAATGACTAGACTCCCTTACTTGTTACCGCTACCAGTACCTTGACCGGAGACGCCGCCACGACGACCGCCTTCTTGTTCGTATTCGCCGTAAGTTTCTGGCATTGTGGTGAGTTTGTTGGGAGGGATGCTTGTGTTGGAGGTGGTGGTTATGGTTGTGATTTTGTGAGAGTGTGAGTGTAAGAGTGTGGGAAAGTGAGGGTATGAGTGTGGTTGGGTTGGTGCAGCGCGGAAAGCTTATTTGTAGTAGCCAGAGCGACGTTCGTGAAGGCACCATGTGAGACGAATGTCAGGTGTTGTGAAATCACTTAGCTGTAAGGACGCTAGTGACTACCACTGCATAAGACATGTCCCACTGTAAGTAAGATGTTTGAGAAGATGAAAGTCTATTAAAGTTCAATCCTAAGTCCAATACCACCGTGTATCACTCCAAGCCTTGCTCGTCCACATCTAGTAAGTGACCTCTCCAAACTCCTCATCAGCGAGGATCATGTAAGTCTTCTCCTCGCTCAGTTCTATGTCGCACTCCGCGTAGTCGTCATATAGAGTGGCGTTGAAGAAGTTGCACATGTCCTGGACGATAGGGCGTGCCTTGCCGAGCTCCTCAAACGAGCAAGTGCCCTTACCGCCGAGGGCGGCAGGGAAAGCACAGGGCTCGATCGCCTATTACGGTGTCAGAGAAGTGCTGCAGCTGAAACTAGGACGAATGTGGTACTCACGGCAGAGTAGACGCTGTAGTTGATGCAATGGCAAGTAAAGTCATCGGGCGCACAGCCGTCAGCATGGTTGGCCTTCTCCTGGCACTGGTGAAGACACTTGGGCATCCATTTGCTGAGCTTCTTGTTGTCCCTAGTATCGTTGCATTAGTATAGAATATAAAGAGGTTTCGGAGGGCTTAGCATACAAGCACTTGTACTTCTCCATGTTACCCGCTTTCTCCGCTTGGGTGATGTTGTAGGTGTACTGGGCGCTAACCGCAGCGGCAACGGAGAGAAGAGTGGCGATTTGAGAGAAACGCATGATGATTATCAATATATGATGATTGTGTGGTTGTTGGTGAGTTGATGTATTGGAAGTGATGCTTGATGTTGTGCTTTACTTAGAGTGAGGACGTTACCCTTCTTATACATCAACACTGGCACTACCCTCACCCTTCTCAGATGGAATCAAAGCGTTGTGTGCTGGTAGCAAGTACCTGCAGCACTGTACCATACAGTCCCAACATTGGATGTGTAATATTGATCCATGCAGGAACATCCTCCCGCATTGAGCTAAGATGTCTTAGCGCGACTGTCAAATGGATGCGCCGGCAGAGTCTCCGAGCCCTCACCTCCTCTGGTGTCCCTCAACGTTGGCCCGGACAGCACCATGGTCGGAGCGGAACACGCATCACACCTGGCGGTGACAGGAACATTAGCTGGAGGGAGGAAGCGGTCAACTCTCCCAACATAAATGACAGAAACAACAAAATATCTCGCGATCAGACATCAATGTCAGTGGAGGGTTATCGAAGGGGTTTGCCGTAAACGATACATCAGCACTTCTACACTCGGAAATGCGCTTGTGTCACGATGAAGACGAAATGAGAGACGAAAGACTGGAAAAGATACGGTCCAGCGAACAAATCCTGAGGCATTTCAATAGCATGAGCGAATCATTTGGCAGTACCGTGGAACAAGCCGATGCATTGACATTCTAGCGGAATAGGGGATTGAAAAGGAAAAACGGCAATACTGGCGCCTGGCTATGGCTGACAAGAGACAGCATAAAATTGTCATGAAGATAGACTCTCTCATCTGATGCGGTGTGAGAGGATTGCGCAGCTGACCGACTTGCGCATTTGGTTGAGGTGGTGGGAGTGATGTAGAGCATCTGTTGTTGCCCAGGTGGATGGGCCCCTTGTCCTCAGGCGAACCTTTCCGAAAAGGTTTAGCATGTGGAGCTTCGGGACCCCGCCTTGCTTCGACCAGACATCTCAACCAGCGATGAGGTTTACTTGCTTATTGTATTGAGACCCGTCCCCTCACCGCTGCCTGGTGTTCGACAAGAGATCACAACTTCGACTTTTGCAGCTGCTCGTTGACGAGCGCGGCGAAATGCGGGTGTGCTGCGCCTATGGCATCGCATTGCGCCTCCGACAACACGTGCGCATTTCCCAACATCTGCCTGGCTGTTCTTACAGCAAGATACGTGACGATTGGATCCGAAGGCTGCAGGGCTCTCAGAAGACGTAGGTAGCTGGTCATCTCCGCGACAAGGCCTTCATGATCAATAAGACGCTTGATGAACGGCTGCAGATCTTCCACAGCGTCAATACCGAGAGCGCGCATCGCCGCATAGCTATACAGCCAATACCACTTATCTTCGCCATCGACTTCTGGGTCGTCGGGAACGAAAGAAATCGTCGTCCTGCTTCTGAAACACCGAACAAGCCAGTCGAGGACACACATGGCGTAACCTGGTAAGATAGGGCCCATGGCAAGAGCGAGTTGCGAAACATCTGGGCATTCCTCATAGCCGGTTCGAACAGCCTGTGAAGCCGCAGCGAGCGCCCAAACCGAAATCTCGATGGCATATGGACGGTGGCCGCTCTCGGCTTGCTCGGTCATCTGACGACTGCGATCGAGGGAAACGAGACCTTTGGCAGCAGAACACTGGTGGGCGTAGTCCGATGGCGCACCCGAATGAGATGCGACAAGCAAAATTGGAGGACCTTCCAGGAGAAGAGCGCGTATTTCATACGAAAGACCTCCAAATGGCTGCTTCGGGCTATCGTCGAAGGAAGCCGTAGTATCTATGTCCATGTTGCCGAAGCTCTCTTCGAGTTGTGCGCCTGCAACTGTAGCTTGGTCGTCTCGATGGTGTAGCGGCAGCATTTCGTTCCGAGGTTTTTTCTAAGCTTTGTAAGTCTGTTAAGCCGGATTGAGGCTTTGCAATGCTGCGACGGAAAAATATGGCTCTTCACTATAGGCTGCGCCTGCCTGCCATGATTGGCAACAGCGCCTGCAACGCCGTGATGACGCAACTATGCGCGCACAACGGTACAACTCGTTCCTGGCGGCGCATAGAATAACCACTATCCTTCGAGAAGGACATTTCGAAAGTATGGCCGTAGTGAATGTGGGTGACAGAGACAATACTAGAGCACGTGGTACTAGCGCGACAATGGACCCACACAACACCTTTGTCTCACTCACCTAGTCTAACTTGCTCAACTCTACACACGACCTTACGGTATCACAATCACAAATCTTGTGCTATCATCAATCATCGACACCATGGCCAGGAAACGCAACGGCGGTTCGCACCAAGGGACGGACGGCGCCCACAATACTTACCCCAAGACTGCGATGACTACCCATGTTCAACATAAGGCAAAAGAAGGACTCCAACACCAAGACAAAGCAACACAGCAAGAACGCGGCCGTAACGGTGCACGTGGATACGGTGGCAGGCGTGGACATGGCGATCGGCGGAGCAGGTCGCCAGGGCGAGACATCCAACGCGAACAACAAGCCAAGCACCGAGATAACAGACGCTCGCGTACCCCACCCCCAGCCAAAGAGATCCGCGATAGGCCAATCAAGGTTCAAGAACTCCGCGCAAGTGCGACTACCGACGTCGTTGCACAGGTTTCCCGGAAGCGCAAACAAGAGGCAACTGAAGATGATGGACTGCATGCGAAGAAGAAAGCGCATATCGGACCTGGAGAAATGAAACCGACTATAGTCGCTCACGGAAAGGAACATACACGCGCACCAGCGGTGGAGAAAAGTGTCGATGCAAACAAGAAGGTCCCTAGCCTACTTGACCTAAAGAACATGACCGAGGATGACAGGAAGAAGCTCCGTGATGACAAGTTCAAACAGAAACCTGTTGTTCCTAGCAGACCTACTGTATTGGAGACAGTCTCTCATGAGCGAAAGAGCCCTAAGACGAGACACGGTGTCAAAGACGGTTGCAAGATCACAGCACTCGAAGCGGAGCCGGAGGCAAAGGCCCTTACTCCACGGACCCCAAGTCAAAACACCAAAGCCAGCTCGCTAAAGCAGTCCGATGCTAGCACCAAGACCGCGGCCACGATGCGGCCCGATACATCCGTCACCAAGGGCGCCGCCTCAACCCCCAAGTCACGGCAACCGAGCGCGGGGGAGGGATTACACAAGATGGAAGACGCAAAGGCAGGCGAAAGCAGGGAAGATGGCGCGAAGCCAAAGCCTAGTTCTACTCCAAGCCAAACAGTCACGCCGCCGGCTGAGCACAGGAAGCGGAAGCTTGTGGAGTTAGAGAATCCCGAGGTAGCTTCGCGCAAAAAGGCCAAAGCAAGCCACGAGGCTATAAAGAGAAGAAATGCTAAGATCAAGAAGTCTCTGGATGATCACCACTTGTACGCCGGTCAGGATCGCTTCCCAGAGGAAGGAGTTACCTTTTTCGACTACGATGTTTACAGCATACCCCTCCTATGCTCTCATACGATTGAACATCAGTACCCATTCGAGCCTATGGATGAGCCTTCGGACAGGCTGAAACGATCCTTCACTGATGACAACGAGGTTCATGTTTTTGGTCGTAAGATGCTTGTTCTGCGGCAGGAAGCGCTTCGCCTTTCCAAGAAGAAGTTTTGGACATCCGACGACCTTGGCCGCAAAGATGCCTCGAAAGTCGAGCCCACTAGGGATATTGGCGACTGTGATCTCTATCTTTACAATGGGAAGGTTCACGTCGCTACAGAGCGAGGACTTCTTCTAGCAGCAGAGTACCTCAAGCTCATCGGGGTTCCAGACACGCAGCCAGTGCGTTTCCACGGGTACAAACCCGCTTGGATGAGCCAAGTCACGCCCAAGCCGGAACACAGACGTGTCTTGGAATCATGGCATCCTAGTGCAACCTTGAAAGAAGGCGGTTGCATCTCGATCACGCACAGCTCTACCGTAGTAGTATACGAGCACGGCGTTTTCGACATCGACCACAACACCGGCGCGGAGACCCGAATGGCCTACGGTGCGCGAGAGGATGATGGCGTTGTTGGTTGGTTCGACTATTCGAAAACATGTCGCATAGACTGGCTCAAAGACCCAGAAGAGACAACTACAACCACACACGACCCTACCATCATTGACTGGTCAACATTTGACTATAGTCCTCTCGCAGCTCGAGCTACAGCTCAACAAGCGGCGCAGCGTAAGTTGACGGCTGCAACGCGGGGAATGGCAACAGTTTATGCATCCACAGCACCACTCCCGCCGATCACACCAACATTGGCATCTCCCGCGGGAAGAGCAGCGACACCTGGCAGCAATGGCGAACATTACTTGTCTGAACTTGCGCTTGCAGCGGAAAGCTCATTACAGTCTTTGATGCATGCTGAGTCTCCAGGTCCCCACGCATCGCAAAAAGGAGGAAAGTCGCCACCGTCGACGATCAAGGGTGGGCGTGTATCGCGACATGACAGTCCTAATTCCCAATCCGAAAAAACCGGGGCAGAGAGTGGCAGCGACGTCGTTGGCGACGATGATGTATCTCAAGGAACTATCGATCCCACGTTACCGCGACAAGTCACAGACCTCAGCTCTGTCGTGACGCAAGAGACGGCGATAGACCCGTCCTTGAGTTCCCAAAAGACCTCAACAGGTCTTGACGAATCCGAAGAACACCAAGTATCTTCACATGAGCCTACAGTACCGGTTACTAAAGCAGTGCGACCGTGCAAGACTCCGTCTACAATATCTCAACGCTACGATGTTGAGGTAGATTGGGACGATACCGACATCCACGAGGATGATGAAGCTCAAAACCAAAGCCCAGATCACAACAAAGAGGACGAAGAGCTTTGAGTTGGGAACAAAAGTATCCTGAACCTTACTGCAATCACACAGTCTACAGGAGTGAGATGATCATAGGCTCTTGCAAGTACATTGAGCAGAAAGAAAGAGACGGAGACTATACCAGTCAGTGCGACACCGCTAAACTGGGTGTCGTTATTGATGGCGAGGTATAGGACGGATTCAGTACGATTGGCCTTCTGGAGTAAGTAGAGGAGCAGCTCGCTGTCTTCGTCTGCACAGCATGGAGCCATCGCCCAAGACGCTGGCATTGGTCACGAACACCAAGCATACCGTGCAATCTTGCCAAGCAGAATCCCAACACATGGGGATCATGCCACCCCAATATACCACAGAAGGCCCTGCCCGCATGACCAACGCTCAGATCTCTTACTTAGCGATATGCATGCGATGAATCTGAGACTTTCTTTGTCTGAAAGGGGAGAAATCCCTACCTAGGTACCAAAAAAAGATGAAAGCAGAAAAACGCCAAATCAGACACAAAAGACGAAACCAAGCGCCAAATCTGCGCCCCTTCAGTCTCTCAGCATACCCACCACTTGTATGGTCTATCGGACGAGCCATGTGGGCAGAGGCAGACTACACATGACCGAGAGCCCCCATGCAGGCATGCGTTGCAAGCGCGTCAACACAGTCAAGTGTCCATTCACCACCAAGGTTACATGGCGCATCTATTGTTCACGTGCGAGCGACCCATCCACGATACCCATTTGCTGTCTTCAGGCGCAGATTTGAGAGCTTTCCGAGAACAAGGAGCGAGGAGCGAAGATAGTCGGGGGAGCATCAGTCCATTTGCATCAATACAAAGTACAAAACGGGCACTGCGCGGGTCGCACATGTGCTCGTAACACGTAGCTATGGATGCTCGATATGTTTGATAGGTCTGTTACCATAACAATGAAAAGAAAAGAAAACATGTTGAGAAACTACGTGACTTGGGGTGTTCAATCCGCCAACGAATTGATGTCATCTTTGTCCATCTCACAGCATACTAGTAGACTTGACAACCCTCTCATCGTCCAGCTTTACCTCCTGAGCTCTAGTTCCAGCTTCAGAAGCCCTAAGGCTTGTTGGCAGTGGCCTTTTCTTCAGAACGATGTTTGTCTTCATACTCTCCGTCGCTTTCTCTCCAAGCTTGTTTGATAGCGCTGATTCACTACTAACAGACAGCCGCAACCTCTTCTTCTTGTTGTGAGCACGGAACCTGACGGGTCAGTACGTGAGTATACGACGCGACAATTAGACTCTTACCAGAATAAGAGGAGCGAGAGGATAAGTAACCCTCCAACTGAACCGCCTACTGCAGTACCGACTGTATACCCTGTTCCTGTATTAGCATGTAGAGAAAGTATGTAGATGCGTCCTGTTGTGTACTTACCCGTAGAGACGCCTGAGGTGCTGCCATCTGAATAAGGTGGCCTGGGAACGGTCGAATTTGGCGTAGATGGAAATGAAGGTGGATCTGCTGGAGAGGTTATGGTAGCTTCGGATAATGACGATGATGTTGTTCTTGTAATTGGACGCGTTATGGTAGTGAAAACCGATGGTTGGCCATCGAGCTGACTTGTTCCAGGAAACACGCTTGGGCCGAATGCAGGCGACGGAGAGCTGAAAAGTGTAGTCTCAAGCTGTATAGTGAGCCCCAGCCTTGCCAATCAAAACTTGGGTATGTCTTACGAATTGCGCGCTTGTCATTGCAATGAAGTTCAGCACGAGCAAGCATACAAGAAGCACTTCCATCTTCGACAGTAGGAGGGGAGAGATAACCATCTCAGTCTCGGTTCAGACAAAGTGTCTGGCTTATGCGTGTAAGTCTCAGCCGCAATGAGGCGTCGGTCTAGAGAATCTGCAAGCCTATCGCGGGAGGGGAGGGGAGGCTGAGCGATAAGGCAGACTTCAGCCTGGTTAGAGCTGGCAACCTCTCTTTCATCGTGATAACACATGGCTGTGTCTTTCCTTTCCTCTAGGTAACTCTTCATGTTAACGTCTCGCGGTAATGGATCCATCAGACTGTGGCGCCCTTTCCACACGAACGGACTTTACAGCGTACATCGACCTGCTCCGCAACGCCACAGGCGGGGATTTCAGCCTGGTGAAGGATTGCAAAACTAATGTATGCGGAGCATTATGGGGCTCAGGGAATCCAGACATCAGCGGTATCGGTATGGCGATCGGATATATTCTTGAGAGCTTCATATGCGCATGTCTCGTAGCGATATCGATGTGGTTTGAACGAAGCGCAAAAGGCCATCCGAGCATGGGGAGGCTATTGGTTGCGAACGCCACAAGAACTTTTTTCGACAACGCTATCTTCTTTACCTTCGCGATTCAAACTGCTAGCATTGTCACACTGTCTGGGGTTGACTTTGGCGTAAACGCTGTTGGAATGGGTGGCTTCACGGTTGAGATTGCTTGGCTGGTGTCTTCGCTCACGCTTCTGCCTCTTCTTCCAATGGTATTGCGACCGGAAATGTTCTTGGAGGGCGGCGCAACAGATGCTGCTAGAAGACGATCGTCTAGTGGTACTGATATCTCACTAGACAGATATGAAGGGCCAGGAAGCGGCGCCGATGGACACCCGGGGCCTCTCTCCGATGCTCGTAGAGGACAACGTTTTGTCTTGTTTGTGATATGCTGGGCGATGGGCTTTTGCCCTTTTTTCTCCCGCATGGGAGGAACTTTTGGTGAGTGGTGACACTATGGTAATGGATTACCGACTAACCATTGCAGGTGAGAGCCGGATCGGGGATACGCCAAACACCGCCATAACGTTCGAAGAATGGAGCGTGATCGCAGGCGTCTGTTTCGAAGGCGTTAGCACTATCAGCTCACATGAACGCGATCTGACTACGGCGTTTGGCATTCTCAGCTATCTGCTGTTGTCCATTGTGGTCATCTCAAAAATTCTTTCTTCCGCTTTGGAGGACATGGATCATAAACAAGCCTGGCTGACAAAGTGCTGTTCGACGTTTGATGGGGGTATTGTTGGATTGTATGCGAAACTCGGAATCGACGTGGTCGTCGCTGCCGCACTAGTTGTGCAATTTTGGGCGTTCTTCCGATTACGACAGCTACAAAGTGTGATGATCCGAGCAGCTGGTGGGAGCTTCCCGGACGGGCAATGGACGTTTGGTCAGATTGTCGCCACCGTTGTTTTTGTTCCCGTCGCTGCCGAGGTCATGTTTGTATGCAAGAGGCGTTCACTGTATCTTGATAGAAGCATGTAGATAAAACATTGGAGAAGACAAGGTATCAAGCTGACAGTGATATATGTGACGAAAGCGATGAGAATAGGGTCTTAATAAGAACTACGACATACTGTAAGCAGCCTCTAATACTACGAATTAATCATCAGTTACCCTCCCCCGGACCATTGTCTTCGTAGTCCTTCTGATGTGCCAGTCGGTTTGTCTCTTCTTCAAAATAGTCATTTACATCGATCACATCCGTCGCGTTTCTCCGAATGAACTTCTTGTATTTTCCAATGTTGAGAGGAAACCCGTTATGAGCCGCAGCGGTGCTGCCCTTCTTGCGGACTCCGGACCAATGCTTTATACTATGTCCGATGACAGGCAGCTCAGGGGGGAGAAGATATGTGTCTTCATCATAAGGTTTTGCGCGGCCCGCGGGTTGAGGATAGTAACTGAGGTATTTTCTCTCCGAGTTCTTGAAGTCAAATGGTTTTGGTGCTGGTGCTGATGCTGATAGCTCTTCTCCCGATTGAGTATCAGCACCCTGCGCTTCTTCTGACGCTTCTTCGCCAGTCTTATTCGTATCATCTGATGATTCAGTATCGCTTTCAGGTGGAGGTTTGACGTTTCTGCGATCTTGCAAGGTCCTGCGAGGATACGTTCCGATGAAATGACAAAGAACTGGGTCAAGGACAGCAACACCCCTGGAATAGAAGCGTCCGACTGTATGCTCTAGAGTGGCGAGATGACACGCATTGAGTTTGGTTTTGTACATCTGCATGACGATTTTGTCAATGAGTGGCTACAACGTTGGGTGTATGGTCAGTCTATGTCTTGCAAACAGGCATGCATCGGGGGAGTTGTTTCTTACCAGTTGCACGGATTTGGGCAGGCCTAGCTGCAGCATAGCGTTGTAGAGATGGATTTTGTCGTCAAGTGCAACTGGAATTCCCATAGCGACAGCACCGTCAGGTCCTGTTGGCTGGCGTGCGCGCCTCGTCTCCTTGGGTGATCTTGCATCGTCCTCTTTGTCTAATTCATCTCCTTTGCGATTGATCTGTTTTTGCATTTTTTGTAGCCATGGAATGACGTATTCGTTGATTTCCTCCGGTCGTATGAACGCCATTTGATCATCAGGTTGTTCGGCGAGTCTTTTTCCACTAACGCAAAAATGATAGTTGATGTCGAAGTCCTGAGTCGATAACTCGCCCAGAGCAGCATGATGTTGTCTTGGATAACGCACTGGCAGATGAAGCGTCTTGGCTCCCGGATTGTATGTGAAGTGATCATCAGCGAAGGTCGAACACTTCCTCAAAGTAGCGCGATCAACAGTCGTTGGAATAGTGTATGAGCTTTTCCGCCTGAACTTTTTGATGGTTTCCCAATATCCCTCCCTCTCGCAATAGAGCGTTCTATACTCTTGCTTGTCGATAATGATTTCAACGTTATCACTAGAAGCGTCCGCAGACTTTTGGTTGTAAACGTCAACCTGGTCAATGTATCGATAATGATCCGCCAGACTCCGTGCTTCATCGTCTAAGTATTGATCGTGTTTTTCAACAACTCTTCCATTCGCATGATAAAGAACCATGGTGTCGTCTGGGTATTCGTCGGAGAAGTTGATGCTTGAATTGGTGGCTCAGAGGATGTGATGGTGATCTTCAGCAGGACTCGAGAACTCCAAGGTTCGCTGGCAAAAGATACCAATTCGATACCGCAGACTCTTTGTTAATATGGAACTCTCTGACAAAGGCGAAACTTTCCGAAGCCATCGACGCAAAGCATCACTTTCTTTGAGCGCGCCGTATTCGGCACAAAGCGGGTACACCAACTCAGCCATGCGGAGTTTAGTACTCCAATCGACCGCCATATGATACCGGATACGGCATCATGTAACTTTAGACGCGTGTTTGTTCGTTGGAAATGTTGATGCAAATGTGCGTAGGTGTGAGGATTGTTGTTTAGGAGAGATACATTGAAGCGCTAAAAGGTTGTACCTCGGTTGCGCCGGAGACGGCTAGATCAGAAGACCCTCGATCAATGAGCCCTAGAGACCATGCTGCAAGATAGCGCTGCGAATTCATATTGGACTAATGGTGTTGAATAGTCGCATCTGCGTAGTGTCCAATCTCTTCACCGCAAACTACCCTCAACATGCAGTCACATCCACCCACCAACCTCCCCCCTCCTACCTCCCCCAACCACCACAAGCCCTCTCCAGCGTCAAAAACGCAAAATGTCCCCCAACAACCGGTCTCGCAAAGAACCACGGCCCAGGAAACCCACCATCCCCCTCCGTAACATAAAGATCCGTGAACGGGCGATCCGTAACCGTCTCATTCAACCAAAGCGCCACTCGATCAAGAATCTCAGAACGCACCTTCTTATTCGCCACGGCAGCAGCTTCAAACTCCCAATCGGACTTGGTGTAAAGATGGCGAGAGTCCAGGGGTAGGCCGTATTTTTGCATCACGGTGGAGTACCAGTCACTCTGGAGGTTGTAGATTTTGTCGGGGATGAAGTCTTTGGTGATGGGTGAGCGGCTGGAGGAGTGTTTTGAGGGTGACAAGGGTCGCTGCGCTTCATCGTTTCCAGATGCGTAATCTGGGTGTTCGGAGAGGGAAGACGAGTTTGTGATGGTGGGGTGGAAGCAGAGTACGGCATCGGCGTAGAGCGAATATAGAGTGGTCCAGCTGCCGTACCAATCGTACGCGAGTTTAGCATGTGTGCCATCGCGCGACATGCCGTAATCTTGCCATTTCTTGATGTATGTCTCAGAGATGTTGCGGTAGTGCTTTGCGTCGCCCGGTCGATCCATGAGGTCTGCGATTTCACTGAAGGCTTTGATGCCGACAATGCCCTTCAGGGCAAGATTTGTTTGAAGCGGCAGCCAGCCAGCGAAGTCATCAGTGCAGACTACGACGTCTGTTAGCTTGTGTTTCGAACAACGGCGGGTCAATACTTACGCTGGTTGTGAGGCTCAAGAGCGTCTTCGACAAGATAGCCAGTCCATTGCTTCCACAGGTCATAGCTGCCTTCCAGCCACTTCTTCGCCTGATCGATACCCTTGGTGCTTCCGCCCCAAATCTCATCGATGTAGTCAACTCCGTCGTGCAGTCCGACGCCATTCAGAGAGAATGCGTTGGTCGCATCAGTACCACGGTCTGCGTCGTTACCGATAGCTGACCAGATAGACTGAGCTTGTGCGTCGGAGTTATAGCTTAACGAGTTGACCAGTGCCAGACCCATGATCAGCATATCGCCACACTCTTCAACAGGCATGTACTCGTCCCGTCCATCGGCGTGTCCTGTCAAATTAGGGAAATGTGCGCCAAGGTCATGCATCGAGTACTTGTTGGGATACTGGCCGGACAGCTGGTGTTCCAGAAGTGGCTCCAATAGATATGCCAACCACCTAGGCTGCGTGTACAGGAAGAACGGGAAAGCCGGGAAGATGACATCGACTGTTTGACTGTTGCCGTTGGAGGATATCTCTTTTAGGAAGAGCAATGGGTTGTCCTTCGTTCCTGAGAAGCTAGTGGCACCCATGACCTGTCGTGCAGACAAGGCAACAATATCCACGTAGTTCGTCGAGCCAGATTGGTAGGCATCGATGCGCAGCTGTTCCGAATAGTTGCCAGCGAGGCTCTTTGCCATTGCGAAATCGCCGTAGTGGAATTGAATAAGCTTGTCGTCTTGAGGGAACCAGGACTTCCACAACGGCCGCATGAACGTGAGACCGCGAGCGGACGCATATTGTGTGACTGGATCTTGGATGTGGGTTATCGTAAACAACACGCTATCGCTGTTGCTACTGGATTTGGCAGAGGTAGTGGACGAGTTTGCCAGCTTGAAGGCTTTCGCAAACGCAAACACAGGCTCTTCATCCATGACGGCGCGGAAGTTCCCATCGACCTCGTTCTGCAAAGTTCCGGTTCGAGCAAACCGCTGGCGCAGGAGCGCGGATGTGCCCGATTCATGGCGCGCATCGACCGGCCCAGTGAAATGCAGCTGACCCCACTCGGGCTGATCGTTGGTCTCGGTGAAGAGCTGCTCAACCTGTCGCTTGACTTGCCACGTCTTCAGCTTGTCGTTCAGACCCGGCGCGACATGCTGGAACAAGCCCCATTCTATCAGGCTCTCCCTCTTGCCGCTGACCCATTGTCCGTTCACGTCCACGTATATGTTGACATCGAATGTCCCTTCTACGTGTATAGACAGGTATGCTGCCGGTATGGTCTGGCGCAAAGTCGAAGTCGGTGTGATGGGCGAGAGGAAGGACAAGGTGATCTCGACGTCTTTCGCTGAGCGCAGTGCATCGGGTGCGGGTATCGAGTACGTAAGGTTGGTGGTCGACGCGTCGTATTTAGCACCCCGGTATATGGGGTATGTTATCGCGTAACTAGTACGGGCAGGAGTTAGCAATGGCTGCGCTCCGAGAGATTAGAGCAGACCTACTCTTTGTCCTTTTGCTCCAGAGAATCATGAGGTCGGCCGAGTAGCGGGTACACTTCGTTGGTGTCAGGGACCGACGCCATGACACTGAAGCCAACCTCAGATCCAGTCCAGAACATGGGCCATTTGCTCCATGGCTCTTCCCTTGCGTTTTGCAGCCATGTGCTCAGATATGGGTTCCGCACGATCAACGGAAGGACGGGTGGTTGGAGAGTCGACGCATCTACCAGGCTTGCTAGGAGCGCCGCAGCTGCGACAGTAAAGGGACGCATGGTGGAGTTCAAGGACTATCGTCGCAAGATCGATACCAAAAGAATATGCTCGATGCTATAATGACGAAACCATGAGTTATGGGCTATTGTACACGCAAAGAAGCATGAAGCACGCAACAGTGTTGGAGCTGTCAGCTGGGATGGAAGCTCGAGGTAGCTGCAGTTTGCGGGGTTGTGGAGGAGCGAATCACGGCGTGGTGCCTTGCATCATCGTGCCGATCGGCAATCGTCCCACGTTTCATCTGACGCGTCCTGACCTCATGACATCTCAAATGTTGATTGGGTAGCCTACAGCAGCATCAGGAGCTCTATCGACCTCTCAGCCTCATCCTATGCTCCAATCTCGCAATGTCAACGTGCCCGCTTCAGAGTACTTGCAACCTCACTGCCCACTGCGGCTCTATCACGCCCCCAACATCACAGCAACCTCTGCGCATCTTCCGTAGCGTCTGTTCGCAACGATCCATCTGGCGTCTGTGATCCTCGACGTTTCCAAGCAGATGCAATCACGCTCATCAATGCAGAAGCCGACCGACCTTGCTCTCTGCGCTTGTATGGCGGTGGAGTGGATATGCCGTCCCGAACCGATTTGACGGGGCTGGGAGTGCGCACAGCCCAGTCGTCTAGTGGATACGCAGGATGCGGATGGTATGACGTGGATGTCTCGAACTCGTTTTTGATGGGAAGTGTAGGAAGAGGCCGTGAAGCTGGTTCTGGAGGCCCGAGTCTGATAGACGGTGGTATCGAGAGCCGGTAGAACGGGGTTGGTGTGCGAACAATGCCATGGCGCTGTTGTGCATTCTCGCCTACATGATCAACTGGCAGATCTGCCTTCGGGCCTGGTGCACCGCGTGGGATGTAGGCGCGTGGCTGCTCTGTATCGCTCACCAGACGTAGTGATGCTCTGTGGGTAGAGGGTGTTCGCCTCCCCGCGAATGTGGATCGAGTAGGGCTTGACGAACTCCTAGTCTGTCCTCGTATGCCTATAGCACTCGCGGCTCGTCCATCGAAGTTCTCTTTACAGTCCTGAAAGACATCTTCCGAATCCCTGCTCATGGCGCTACAGGCCCTTGTGCCCTGGATGGCTTCATCGGTACCACCACCTTCGTTCGGCTCTATCACAGGGAGATCGTTCTCTTCGCCTGCACTACCACGATTTTGATCAAGCAGCCCCAACTCGCGCAGTTGATCCCAGCTGCGACAGTAGTATCGAAATGTCGCAAAAGGCTGATCGACAGGGTCGATGAGGGCGAATTTGTAAAAGCGCTTCGGATGCTGTGGTCCCGCAGGCCCAGCGTTGACAAGGCTACCCAGGTTAGCACAGTAAGTGCATGTCACGTTGAGCGCTTACCCTATCCCAGTCTCAGTCTTTGCGTGCTCCGTTTGCTTGTACTCTTCTGCCTGTCGTTCGACTCGCTTCCGTCCATGTGCACGATGTACTCGTATCTCGACGCGCGCGGTCTCGTCGAATGCATTTACGTCATCTTTTGTTGTAAAGCAAAGCACTCGCTTCTCGAACTTTTTCTTATCGCCGCCATCCCCGGGGCTCTCGAATAGACCGAACATAGTCTTGCCCTGCCATTCCTCGTCCTTGCCTGTCGACCAGCTCACGACGTGCGCGCCGTTGATGTACAGCTTGAACAGGAAGTAGTGTCCTTCGGGGACTGGCGGCGACACAGCATATTCGATCCAGAAGGTGCTGCCTGGTAGAGCTGGAACGTAGACGCTGCAAGTCGACGTCTTTTCATCGACGGATTCCGGAGTGAAGCTAGAGTTACCGCGAGGAGCTGGGCGATATTCAGGCAGTTTTTCGATATCGAATTGGGAATGCAGTCCGACGTCGATGCTACGACAATGCATTATGGCGGTGGTGGTGACGTGGCCGGTCTTGGTGATTGCGTGGGTAGTCCAACAGTACAGGAAGCAGGTGCGGTTGACCCAGATGGTGAAGTAGACGACTGCCCGACTAGCGCGACTGCTCCATCCCAACTCAACAAGTCAGATTCACGTATGCTATGCATTTCTTCATTGTGTTCTTTTCGCGACCTGTCAAGAACAAGCAATTGTATATGGGTTCGGATAGGTATAGTATTGAGAAGTGGAGTTTCTTCACTGTTCGAATTGAAGCAGTGTTACTCTTTGGTGCTTGTGACATCAGCAATCTTGCGAGCTGACATCATGCCAGTCAACAATGTTGTTTCACGATGAGCGACGCTACATTCTGGCCAGCTGTGAATTCTGGAAGTGGCGCCGCTACAAAGCATCTTGTCTCGGTCTGAGAAGTACTTACTCGGTCTTGCCGACAACGCGAACCTGTCACTCCCGATGTCGCTGCAGCATCGCTGGTGATTCGAAAGGCGATACCTATGCACGAAGATCGAGCGGTTCCTTCACCGTAGTAAAGGTGGTTGCGACTTCACTACTTAGGTAGTTCTCACGTGATGGTTCATTCACTGCTCTTCCAGCACAGGCCCACAGAAACACCCCTCACTATATAAGCCATAGCCATGCTCTTATTCTCTCTTCTCCCCACCTAGCCTATTCTTCGCCAACTCAACCGCGTTTGAAGTAAGTCAACCCCTCACTTCCTCACACATAATCTTGTAAGCGCCTCACAGCTTTGGCCCGCCAACCTATCTCTCCATCACACTGCTATCAGATTGCTGGACCCTTTGCTTACAGCAGTTAGGACAAGCTTGGATTAAGAAGGATCTGTCAACATGACAGCGATGACCAATCCCGGGCGCATGCCTCCGCCTAAGACGAACCAGCTCACGCCAAAGCAGCTCGCCGAGTAAGTTTATCCCGAAGACCTCCTCGTTGTTATGTTTCGGAGTATACTAACTGTTGTAGCTTCAGGAAAGGCCCAAAGGCAAACATCGTCATCGGTCCCGACGATAACCGCTACATCGGTCTCGAGAGTGCATCCGTGAATCTACTAGCACACTTCTCTCCAGTGGCTCGGAAGAAGCTGGTCGAAGAACGAAGCACAGTCTTGACTATTCCTAACGGTTCGAAGAACGCCATCCGTTGGATCTACAAGTACATGCAGGCTGGCGAGCGTGATCCCATGGACACGGACACGTTCGAGGCACTGACCTCCGATGCCTTGATCGTCATGTACAAACACTGCGACCTTCTCGAATACGAAGCACTGAGGAAGCGTATCTTTAATCGCCTGAAGAGCAAGTTCTACCATACGCTCCCAACTATCGACGAGATTAAGAGCTACCAGAATGCGATCCCAGCGCTCTACGACTGCGCGATTCGATGTATTGTCGATGAGATGGCGAGGCCGTGGACTTGCGACTACGAGCCGTATCAAGAGCTTGCCAACACGAATGAGGCCTTCAGCAAGACGCTGGACGCTGCTTTGCAGAAATACATCGCCTCGCGTGTCAAGGTCAGCGAAGAATATTATCGAAACACGAAAGATCGCCGTGTGATCTGGGCCATCAAATACATCGAGGACATCCGCGCCGGTCGTCGTCCCTACATCAAGTTCGCCGACAGGTCTTTGAATATGTTGTCCTGGAAGTCTCAGCAGAAGGGCAAGGGCGGCCCAGGTCTGTTCAACAGCGTCAAGGCTGATGCGAACGGTGTAGCAGGAAACATTCCAGCTCTTGCAGCCAAGCACGACAAGAAGTACGTCAGCAAAACCTACACACCGTTCACCTGCCACAAGTGCGGTGGGGAAGGCCATATAGCCCGTAACTGCACCACGGCAACTGCTGCTGAGTCCGTCACCGCCACTGGAGTTACATACAAGAAGCCCTCGCAGCGTCACGGTCCAATCTGCTACACCTGCAAAGGAACCGGCCACCTTTCCCGCAACTGCCCAGCTTCGCAGTCAGCCGCCAAACCCGGCATCATCACCGGTCTTCTCAACAAGGCAACAGACAAGCGACCCCTACCCGTCTGCTTCGAATGCGGCGATAACGGCCATATTGCACGCAACTGTCCGGAAGAGAAGCCGCAATCTGAGCGGAGCAAGGCAAAGTCTCAGCAGCCGTTCATTTGCTACAACTGCGGCGGCGAAGGTCACATGGCGCGCGAGTGCATGGAGGACGTGTCAAGCAGCGAACACGCTGACCTCTCCTTTTCCTCTTTTACAGCCTTGCCTCCCACCAAGGCCTCCACAAGCGGTGGTAATCTCGTCAATGGATTGCGTCCTGCTCTCGGTCCTGCTCGTGCTGCTGCTGCCGCTGATCTTGGCGTCAATCAGGCAAACGCTATCGACGAGTTGGAAGGTGGAGAGGGCGAGAAGACACCTGATCATGAGGTTCGTTAGGGCGGGAAGACGCGGACTGTTCTCTTCGTCTAGATAGCTGAACGGGATGAGGAGTGAATTTGAGAGGATGCGTCCAGGAAATCTGATCACAAGCTGATTAGGCGGAGCGACATCGTCATGCAACATATCATCCTTTGATGGAGGTCAATGAGGTCGTTTGAAGACCGAGCTATCTATAGATTATTAGATATATACAAAGCTTTTTAGCAGAGCCTTCCAAACATGGTCTAGGGGTTGAGATCGCTAATTTCCCATGAAGATGCCCAGTTTCTGCCGTATAGCTGGCGCCGGACGTACGTTCGACTGCTTGTTTGAGGCGACGAGTTGTGCTAACGCTGATCGTTGTTTGATTTCTATTTTTTGTCTCCACCAGGCTTACCATTCTTCTCTAGATGGTCCTTGATGCTGAACATACCCGTCCCCCGCTCAAGCGGTTTAGCTTGAGTGGGACTAGGTTTCCAGCCAATCATGTAAATCAACCTGAAAGTGGCCGGAAGCGTGCCATCTTCATTGCCATGAAGTTCCTTGTATATAGCTTCAGCAGCCAGTAGTACGTCCCTCTGGATTGGCCCCTTCTCTCGTGCAAGCACAGCGTTGGACTCGCCCATAGCTTGCAGGTCCTTCATCAACGAGAAGGTATCGGGATAGTCGACTACGATATCATCCACGTCCACGGTGAGGAGATTGAAGCCAGCCTTTTGTAACAGTCCACCCACATCTTTGACGTCCGCTAGTGGCGAGGTATGTGTTGAGACACCACCTCTTCGGTCCAACTCTGCTAGTTGCAGAGACGTACGAAGCTCGTAGAGGCTGTCTCCTCCCATCATGACGCCTATGAAAGGAGCATCTGGCTTCAGAATGTTGTTCACTTGCGCCAACACCGACGGCAGGTCATTGATCCAATGTAGACTCAGGCTGCTCAAGACCGCGTCGAAAGAGTTCGCTTCGTATGGTAATAGCTCCGATGTCGACAAGACCTCGCGTACAATATCAATCTCCTTGTTGAAGGGCAGGTCGGCGTCGCGATACAAGAGTGCTTCCGACGAGTCTGCGGCTGTGATGGTGCCGATTCGCTTGGATCGAGGGCCGTTGTCTGGGGCGTCTTCGGAGGGTAGAGTAAGTGCGCGGGATAAGTTGCAAGCGTTTGCACCGAGATCGAGGACTTTGGGGAAATGCCGATTTATATCCTATGGTCATTAGTCGCAGTCCATGTCTAGAGTGGGGAGCATCATACTAATACTCGCTCACACAGCCTGGATGCCACCTCATCTCTGAGGTAGTCTACACCTCTGCTATTCTCTTTGTCTGCTGCGGCTCTTTCCTTCTGTAACCACTTCTGTTGGCCACTGAATATCTCCATCATTGGAGCGCCGGGCGCTTGTACCGCATACCGCCGGGTGGTTTGGAGGGGCAAACATCGTCGCTTCAGTGGTGGGATGAAAGCGCGGATCGAAAAGGATGCCATAGTGCCAGTAGAATACGAATTGACTCTACGAGGGCGGTATGGACGACGTGAAAACGGATGGCGCGCAAGAGAGAGGATGAGAAAGCAATACGTCAAGACCCTGGAGCTGCTGCGCCAATCGGCGTTTGGCTCCACCGAGATCTACCTCCGCCCTCCAGAAGTCCATCACCAGCACCACTTCTCTGCCAATCCGGACAACTGGTGGGGAAGAAGCACACAGTCAGTTTCGAACGTCATTCTTGAACTCGCGACTCCGCCATGGCGCAAGCTTTTCCGTACACGTACTACGCTTGCGACTGCTTCGACAACAACACCACGACCTCCACGAAACGCACCACGCACGTCCTCGCTGCCTTTGACGACGAAGAAGAGACCCTGGATCCGAGGAACCCGCGTTCCAACTACGCCCTTTACCCTCTCGAACATCTCCTCTACTGCGAAGACTGCCTGCAAATACGGTGTCCACGATGCGTGATCGAGGAGACGCTGAACTGGTACTGCCCGAACTGCTTGTTCGAAGTACCGAGCTCTGTGGTTAAGAGCGATGGAAACCGGTGCACACGCAATTGCTTCAATTGCCCCGTGTGCATCTCGCCGCTCATAGTCAACCTTCTCGACAACCCTGACGCCGACCAAGGAGTGCCAGACCGACACATACTCGCGTGTCCGTACTGCCATTGGAGTACAATCGAGACGGGCATAGAGTTCGAGAAGCATACAGGCGTGTATTCGCAGATTGCGCGGATAGCAAATGGAGGCAAGGCGATACCAACCGCGAAAGAACGCGACAAGGAGCGCGAGAGGCGCAAGGAGCTCGAGGGTCGGCAGAGAGACTCAAGGAATCCGCTATCTCCTTCCAGCGACTCTACAGCTATGGATGTCGAGCAGTATGAGCCACCGACACGCGACGATCTATTCTCGAATCTAGGTGCTTTTTACAAGGCGCAACTGGACTCTCAAACACCAGCGAACCCTCTCGAGATGAACTTCTCCTCGCCCTCGGCCTATTCCCGAATCATGAATCTCTATTCAACGAACACAGCGAAGAAGCAGAAGCGCAACAAGCCAACGCCCATGCGAGAGGCTGCGTCGGAGTTAGAAGGCCTGGTCATCCACGACCCCGCCGCGGACAACGCAGCGATCGAGCGCATCAAACGAGACGGTTGGGGCAGTACGTTGTCGCCTGCCCAGAAGCTCGCACAACTAGATCCCCACATGCAATTCGACAACGAGCTCCGGCCGATACCGACTCTCCTCTGCACAAAGCGATCAAAAAGATGCCGGTCCTGTCGACACATCCTGTCCAAGCCAGAGTCCAAGATAACATCAACACGATACAAGATCAAGCTGCTAGCACTTAACCACATCCCACGGCTCAGCATCCGCGCACTACCCCCCAACCCAGCTGTGCCACCAGTCCCCGGCTCCATGCCCGCCCCGCAACCTCCTTTCAACTACAACACGCTCCGTCCGGGCATCGCAACGCACTTCCTCCTCCATGTCAGCAACCCGCTCTTCGATCCGATTCAAGTCACACTCGCCACGTCAAGCACCACACCCGGCAAAGTACAGTCCCGCGTAACGATACTATGTCCGCAATTCGAAGTCGGCGCCAATACCGATGTTTGGGACGACGCGCTCGCTTCAGGTCCCGCACCTATGCCTCGCCGCTCAACGATCAACGCCGAGACGGGACAAATCGAAGCGGGAAAGATATGGGATAAAGGACGGAATTGGACTAGCGTGGCTATCGAGGTCATCCCTGGCTTTCTTAGCGAGCTAGGGGGCGAGGATGAGCTGGACGAAGATGAGGATCTGCTTGAGATACCGATTTTTGTGCGTATTGAGTTCGAGGCAGATGTCAATGCGGAAGAGAGGGGGTTGGGCGATTCGAGAGGAAGTAAAGGGGAGAGGGAGAAACGAGAGGAGGCGTTTTGGACGGTTGTTGGGGCGGGGAGGATAGCGAGTGCGTAGGCTGTGGAGGTGATGATAAGTGTTTGTGATACCCCATTGCTTTATTTGAGGATAGGAGATTAGATACATTGCTACTTGCTAATCCCATAGTGCTAGCCGCTACGAATGGATTCATTCCTCAAGATCCCACTACCCAAAGTGCGTCTCATTAGGAAATACTTCCCCATCCTTCTTCTTCTTCCTCGTCACCATCCCATCCAACGTGCCCTGGCTAGCCTCCCTCTTATGTCCCGCTTTCTTCTCACTCCTCACCGCCATCTTCTTCGCCTGTTTCGGACTCGACGGCTCATCTACATGCGCATCCTCTTCATGCCCCTCCGCATCTCCAACATCCTCCTCTTTCACCATCGCGCCCGGCGGCCCTTGACTCCCTTCCGTCGGGCCCTCCGCGCCATCCTCAAAGAGCTCCCGCCACGTCCCATCCAGCACCTTTGGCGAGTTTCCATACAAACCAACATGATACGCGTTCTTCATACCCTGAATACAAATCTCCCTCCTCTTCGCAAAATCAAACATCGGCTTAGGGTAAACTTCCATCGTACTGTCGCCTGGCTGCTCGTCCGACCCATCCCCCTTGACCAAACACCCCCACTTCTTCTGGTCCGCAATCGGCGCTTTCCACGGTTCGTAGATGTACTTTTTGTCGAATCGCGCTAGTTCAGGCACGTATTTTCGCACAAAGTCGCCCTCTTTATCCCATTTCTGGGGGAAGGCAATGGGCGAGTAACAGCGGTAGAACTGCGCGAAAAAGGCTGTACAAGACAACCATTGCCAGTTCCCGATGTTACACGCGGCTTCATGGTCAATGAGCCATTCTTCAAAGACCTCGGCGCCGCGCTCCCAGTCTATGTAACATCCACCCCGCGTGAGGAAGCAAGCGACGGCGTGGCGACCGAGGTGGTGGACCCAGCCTTCTTGTGCAAGTTGACGCATGAGCGCGTCGATCCAGGGGAATCCCGTTCGACCGTGTTTCCAGCGCTGGAAATGCGATTCCGCGTCTGCGTTGTCGACGAGATACTCGCCGGTGATTAGGTTGGTGCTGGTGTCGATTTTAGAGGGGAGGTGCCAGGGTATGAAGCGACAGTGTGGGTTGTTGTATGTTTGGCCGAAGGAGTAGCCCAGCCCGGCTTGGGCGCCAAAGTACATGTCTCGGAAAAGTAGTTGGCCTGTTAAACTGGTAGGCGGTTGAGAGGCTTTCCCCTTGTACTTGTCGACAACGTCTTGGGCGCGCCAGTAGAAGAGTCGGCAGCTCAAGGAGCCGAAGTGCATGTGGGGGGAGAGGAGGGTTGTGGACTGGGGCGAGAAATCGGTCGGGGCGGTTTTTGGCTTCTCGAATGTTGCTGTGTAGTCTGTGTTTGCTATGATTTTGTCGAGGGCTTGTAATGCTACCGTTTCGCCGCCCCGGTGCGAGGTTGTTGCGGGCTTTAGGCCTAGCTCTTCCATTGTTGGTACTGCGAAGTCGCCTTTTGGTCCTGCGAGAGAAGAGTACGAAGCTTCATCGCCGTCTCTCTGGATCGCGTTGATGTCCGGCGCGCTTTCTGGCTTCTCTTGATCAAACTTC